ACTGTCACTATATTTTGATGCAATATAGAGTATCAGTTGCAAGCAACTCAACAGCACATAACAACACATCTTCTCAAATGAAATTTATACTAACAAATAGTAGGAACTATTGCATCTGCAAAGATGTAATCTGTATATATTATCTGATACTAAATTTGTGACACTGATCTTAGGTACATATATTACTAGAAAATGTATACTTATTTTTAGATGGAAAAAAAAATGACATATATAGCATCTAACACAATACTAAACATTGAAATCTGTGATTGCATGTTCCTTGCTAGTTATTAAAATTAATGATTTAACTTTTATCAGATATCTGAACCACTTTCTCCACTGCACTATTGTTATGTGCCGTTGAGTCGCCTGAGACTCATGGCAACTCTTGTACAACAGTGCTAAACCCTGCTCTATTTTGTGCCAATCTTATAGTCTCTGATATACTTACCCCCATTAACCTAGTCACTGAATCAATCCACCTCATCAAGGATCTTCCTCTCTTACGTTGGCCTTCTACCCTCCCAAGCATGACGTCCCTCTCCAAGGATGGTCCCTCCTTGCAACATGCCCAATGTATATCAGATGAAGCTTCAGAATCCTTGCCTCCAAGGAATAGCCTGGTTTCACCTTCTATAGAACTAACTTGTTTTCTTAGCAGTCCATGATATATTCAATACTCTTCTCCAGCACTAAAGCTCAAAGACATCAACTCCAGCTCTCTGATGCATAGCAAGTAACGGCAAAGACCGTGGCCTGGATCAGGCACATCTTCAGTCTCTAGACTGACATCACTCTTCTTCAGTACTTTGGATAGGCACTATTTATCACCTTTCTTTTTAATTATTTACTATTCTTCCTTGAAGTATGTAGGCATATGTTTGATATGTCTATCCTGGACTTCGTTCAGTTTGTATTTACTAGTATACTTTCATTATATTCTAATTATTCATTTGTGTTGAGATCACAGTCATCAGCTTGGCAGCACCAGCCTCAACTCAAAGCCTGGTGTACATGCTCATATTGACTGAATTTTTTTTTTTTTTGTAGTTGCAGATGTGATTTAATGCTCTGTGCAGAAATACATCACAGCCACTTGAGGAGCATAAAGTCTTTAAGCCACGTTGTGGGGTTCCCCGATGTCCATCTGAGGGCTCCGGCCATTCCAGATGTGGGCACTGAGGTGGGAGCGGCCAGCACCACCAAATACCACAGGAGATGGCCGAGGGCAGCTCTATCAATCGTCCTTCTTGAACTTGCCATTGATGTAGGGCACCCAATCCAGGATCAGCCTCCAGTCAGTGGCCCACACCAGCCCCACGGAGCCCACAGCGCCCCACATGCCCACCGTGGGTAGCCAGTACTTGGCCAGCTCCCGGTAACGAGGGCCTAAGAACTTGGTCAGCATCATGACGCCGGCAGCACGCTCAGGGTCACCCTGTCACTACGACCTGGACGCAGTACGCAAGCGCAGGAGCGGGGCGCAGGCGCACAGGCACGAGTATATTGACTGAATTTGAGTTTCCTTATTTGTATTGTTTGCATGCATGACTTAGGATCTTTGTATTCTTTTACTGTTAGTTTCCAATCCATGGTAAATACTCAACTGCTAAAACTGAAGACAGTTAAAAGATTGGAAGGTGAAAAAGAATTTCAATTTCCCTTTTCAAAAGAAACAGGTAATGTTTAAAGGTGGGAGAGCTGGAAGGCTGAGTCAGATATCTAAGGGTGCTTTCTAAAGATACTTGTCTAAATGTTGTCATATGAAAAGTTATAGAAATGTCAGCCATTCCTATAATGCAGAGCAATGATTTAGAGTTGGCAGGAGACAGGAGAGAGGTACTAAACTGAGAGCTGCACTAAAACCTTTTAGCATCACATTAGCTCACAAGAGGTAAAGAATTGTCTGAAAGCAATATATGATTAGACAATTTATGTATGACAACAATCTGAAACAAGGAGTGCATTGCAGGGAGGGCTGGGGGAGGTGGGAGAAGAAAATGTGCAACAATAAAAAAAATTTCAATGAAAACAACTATGAGATATCATCTCACTCCAACCAGAATAGCAAAATATAACAGAACAGCAAGCAACAAATGCTGGCGAGGTTGTGGAGAAATTGGAACCCTTATTCACTGTTGGTGGAAGTGTAAAATGGTGCAACCACTGTGGAAG